ACCATGGACTATAGTTTTATTTTTCTACCAGGTGATACCTAAGATGGGTCCAAACGGACCCACACTCTAGTTTTTGACTGCTGATAGTTTTGCAGGAAATTTCATATGGTTCTTCTGCATCATTAGAAGACTAGCGATTAGCGAAGAGATCGCTTCGAATTGCATAGATCTTAAAGTAGAAAAAAGCAGAAAACACTACTGTGGGTCTCCTTGGACGCACAAACACCTCCGGAGGGTTAACACTTGTAACTTGACGATCCTAATCAAAGTTGCTATATAGTTTATAAAGCTATAATGATGTATCATCACATTTTTCGTCATCATCCAAATCTATATCTGATAAGAGTCGTCCAACACTGACTTTTATTATAAATTTTCCATTTAAATTATGCTCAGCTGACCAAATTTTAAAATTAATTCCGGCTGCTAAAAGTGTCTCTTCTTCTTCTGGAAACTGTGAGTACTGTTGAATATCAGCCATACAGTCATTCGTTTTTATTGAGATAGATTTGAGATTAATTACAAATAGAGTATTCCCAAATAATTCAGCTGCCTCACGACGTTTACTTGTCGAAGAAAATGATGGCCATGAAAAACGTTTACCAATACCATTTTTATATGCTTCAGTTTGTTCAGGACTAAGATCAGCTCCGCGATAAACTACTACTGACGATGACGATGAAGAAGATGTATCATTTAGCTGAGAGAAAATAGTGTCTTTAATTAAACAGCATCTCCGCAGATACGCAGCTAGGAGTGCGCAGTATGGTGCTAGTGTATCACGTTTAGTACGATTTCCGCCGTCGAGTAATGTTCTGTTAACAAGTCGATAGAGAAAACTATCACGTGTATACAGGTGCACACAACATTGCCCAATTTCAGTTGTTGACTTTCCAATAGCATTTTCTAAAGAATTACACATCCATCGTGCTTCTATTCTTCTACCCAGCTTAGCTGCCTCCGTTAGTATTCCCCAGACTGCCACCTGTGCAACCCTTCCGGCTATTGATTCATTTGTAATTAGATCATAGAATGCTATATTATTAATGTATAACCATTGACGAATAAATTTTGAACCGTAGCCTTGTTCACTAAAAGTTTTAACGTTTATCGTCATCGGCTCTGATGAAAAGAAACGCTCTTGACGTAGTTGTTGACAATGTGGAATATTTGTTAAACGTTTTATTGCTGTTTCATTTGATTTGTCCTCTTTGCTTATCTGTATGGCACGCTTTAATTCAATAGAATAGTCATCTAATTCAACTTGTGAACCGTGTTTCATATGAGCATCTTCAATTATATCATTTTCAATATCTGAATAGGGCGTCCATGCTTCTCTTTTGTAGTTAGAAGTCTCTCGACGATACCATTGAATACGTCCTGTGTCACTCATTTCTTTTAATGTATTAAAATAAAATAATATAGAAGCAGAGCTGGTAAGTTAAATATACACTCGGATTTTTTCGCCAGACGAAATAATAAAACACTCTTGCGACATACTTGCTTGTATGAATAAGTAGTAAAAAAAAATGTCTAGCACACAAATCTATTCATTTTTTTATTATAATTTTAAACATTTTTCGCTTCTATTTTTCTTCCGTCAAACGATGACATACATAAGAAGAATGTACACAAGTTATATACACAAGTTTCTACCTTATTTGGTATTGACAAATCAATAGGTGTATCTTGCTGTTTTTTTTACTACTTATTCATACAAGCAAGTATGTCCCAAGAGTATTTTATTATTTCGTTTGGTGAAAAAATCCCAGTGTATATTTAACTTACCAGCCCTGCTTCTATATTATTTTATTATAATACATTAAAAAAAATGAGTAACAAAGGACGTATTCAATAGTATCGTCGAGAGACTTCTGACTATAAAAGAGAAGCATGGATGCCCTATTCAGATAGAAAAGAAGTATTTGCTCTTCTTTTGTTGTGTTTAAGAGAAAGGTAACTGTATATGTATATAGTGTGCCAATATAGAAAAAGAAGTAAAATGACGAAATAATCAAAGAGTATACATTATCTCTAATAACCATGACCCGAAGGGAAAACTGGAAAGTCATAGTGGTCAAAAAGAATTCATCTAACCTCTGAATATGAAGGAAGAAACTGCTATTTTAAATACTAACTAGCGGTATTGGTAGTCGCTTATTTCAAAAACTAGACGGTGGCTACTAGTTTCGAAAAATAGGTCAATGTATTGTGCAACAGTTGAACTTCAAGAGTATTTTCTTCCTCTTTTTTGAAAAACCTTTTCGTTTTTGAGATGAATATATTCTAATATAGAGAAAAGTACGGGATACAAGATGAGACGACTCCCGGCATTCCATGATCTTCCTTTGAAAAGTTATGAATTTTTTAAGTTTTTCCTTCGATGCTTGGAAAAATTTAATTTTTAGTTGCATAAATTTTAGTTCTCTTTCCTGCATATTCAGAATTTTTTCTTATATGGGCGTTATTGATCCAGAAGAAGACAATGATGAAGAAGTTTGATTGTAGTGTTCGTGTAGTAAAGAGGTGAGGAATTGCTTTTCGTTACTTCTCGATAGTGTTTTTAGAAATGTTTAGTTACCAAACTTTCATTTTTGTCAACTTATGGACCATCAATCTGAAGTACTTATTGAAATGCATCTACAAAAAAACTAGAATATATTGACGTAAATATATCACTTATGGATTCTAGCTTTTGTTATCATGCAATATTATTATAAAGTTGTAAAAAGATCAGTATTTCTCAATAACATTCTTACTATTAAAGGGCAACAATATAAATACGAATTCTAGTGCAATTGCGGCTATCAATAAACTCTTAATCATATTAAACAAAGTTAAGAGTATTTCAACCACAATTGCACTAAAAAGCAGTATTTCTCAGTCTTAAGGAGGATCCCCCCAATCAATTCTCTGTGTAAAACAAGTCTATTTTTTATCGAAACAGAAAGCACCCATGTCTTCAATACCGATGAAATACCGTCGGTTACCGGAGGGTGTACGGCACGCTTAACCGGCAAATTACCGCGCGGTATCAGCGGTAGACCAGCGGTGCCACTCGGTTACAGATCGGTAATACCGGCGGTATTTTCATTGTGAACACATAGAATAGGAATTCGAAACTAGGTTGCAACTTTCATTTTTTTTGATTTTTATCGTGGCCTTACAAGTGCAGAATGGCTCCTTTAAATAGAAAAAAGTTTGACTCGAGTCGAAATTTAAATTTCAACGAGTCTGAAAATTAATAAAAAATAATTTTATCTGAAAATAAATCAAGTTTTTTTCGATTTTTAGCGTTGCTTATATGTCACGGCCGCTGCAAAACAAAACGGTGAATGTAAAACCGGTTTAGCGCTCGGTATTTTGTCATACCATGGTATAGAAAATAACCGTCGCTAAACCACACGTTTCACCGAGTGGTACGGTTTAGCGACGGTAGTTTTTCAGATACAAGTATTTTCAGACACATGCGGTATGTGTCTGAGAATACTTGTGCCATTGACGATCCACTACCGACAATCGAACCAATTATTAAATATATTTTGGAATTGGATAATCAATGGCGCGTAATCGATAAATTTCAACTGGCGTGGAACAATGACTATGAATATGTGCAACGGTGGAGATGAGAGACGTGTTATTCATTCATAATAATGTCATTAAAAGATTGTTTTGCGATAGATAGATTGAGTTTTAAGACGGTACCTCTTTTTAAAAAATGATGTCGAATATTTGTTCTTCCAGTTAGGATAAAAAGTAGAAGTAGATACTCTCTATTTAATTCCTATTTAACTGGTTAAGTTGAGGGATTAAAGTCATAATGAGTAACATTTTCCTTGGGTAGAAGAATAGATGAAAAAATAAAACTTTCCGGTAAGATGCGCGTAACGCAAATTTTGGTCAAAAATTTTTGCAGAGCATATAGCCTGATAGATCAAAGAATTCTGAGCAAAATACGATATCTTCTGGCTGTCTATAACGCCTTTTCACCCACTGCAGTCGATTTACGAATGGCTACAAAGGGCGTGAAAATTACCAGAATATTCCGGTGAAAAGGCGTTATAGACAGCCGGGAGATATCGTATTTTGCTCAGAATTCTTTGATCTATCAGGCTATATGATCTGCAAAAATTTTTGACCAAAAACCAAAGACTTAGTTTTCTAGCGGTCAGGTTTTCCTTAAACCCTATCATCAAGTTTTGTCATAAAACGCCGATTTGCACCTCATCCGACAGAAAAATCTTCAGGCTATTGAAAACAGTATTCGGATTTGTTCCAGCTTTTACTGAAAAATCAAAAGTAAAGGAGTTCTTGTGATCATGACACACTGTACTGCATGTACAACATCCAAATGCTTCTTTTCCATATCTTTAATGACTGGCCCCATCTGTCTAGCTGTTCTGATCAGCTCAGTTTGTAGAGAATTTCACGGGCTATCCAATGGTATACTTCTAAAAAGCATTAGTTTCTCATTAAGATAGAAAAATGACTAAAGGAGTTTTCCATAGGTCCAACGCGTTTTTTGCATGTTCTTGATGATCGGGCCGACCGATCTAGATTGTCTAACACGCTCGGTTTGTAGAGAATTTCAAGGGCTATCCAACAGTATAGCTGTGAAAAATATATCTGAAGAAACGAAAAAGTTATTGCAAAATGATCTGCCCGATTTTAGGTGAAAACCACAATTTTTTAATGGAAATTCAATATTTCAAGAAAGGAAAAGAATTTCGAAAAAAGGATACTTGGGCTTGTGCTCCGCGATGTGGCGGATCGAATGCCGTCAAATTCAAGGTTTCATCTTTCAAGAGAAAAAAGGAAATCGGTTTTTTCCGGCGGGGATCCTTTTTCCCAGCCGCTTGGAACGAATTTTTGGCATCGGCCAGGTAATATGTGGAGAACTTCGAAAATATATTTCTTAATTGAGTTTTCAATGCTGAATCCGAAAAAAACTGTTTGGAAGCTTCAAAATTTAAAGGAAAAAAAATATTCAATTTTTTCGAAATATGAAAGCTTTTTCCGATTTTGAGACCCTTACAGTATTTCGAAGTTTTCTACGTGAAAACGTGCACTGGGAGGGCTAAGAGGGTGATATTCGTGATCAGCATGAAGTTCTCTATCGAATGATGCATAAGAAAACCAAAAATAAAATAATACTCCACCTTTGCATTACGCGCACCTTACGTTGTCCTAAGTACTATGAGCTTTCCCACAGAGTTTTAGTCTACACCACCAATATCACTTTACATCCTGTAAAATGCAAAATATGGTTACGAAATGCCTGTCTTCCAAATTTTGGCTGATTTAGTTGAATGAACGAACGAGTGTCAAAAAAAACCATGAGCCAAAGCTCAACAAATTTAGAAGTGATCGGCACATAAACCAGTTTTTGTCCGATACCCTTTGAAACATGTTCAGGCCAATAACTGAGTTTCTGATGCTTAGAATTTGATGGCTCTTGGTCCAAAAAATCATTGTCTATGTTTTTTACACGTAAATTGCAAACAAATTTACAGTTTTTGCTATATCAAACACGTTTAGTTATCAGACAACTCAATGATAGAAACGCGTGAATTATATAATCATCAAAAGACACACGATAAAAGAACAATCTAAGGTCTATGGAAAAACTGAACTAGAATTAATGAACGATTGATCGTCTGTCTTCTAAAAATCAATTGAAGCTGGCGATCATATTGAACGGATATGGCAGTGGTGTGTCCGATACTTTTGTTAATCGAGCCATTTGTTCATCACTCAATTGAAATGTGACACATTGCATATTATCATTCAACTGATCAAGTGGTTTTGCACCTAAAATGCAACGTTAAATAGTAGAATAAAAAGAAAAGTAAGCAGCCTGAAAATACCTCTGATGGTCGATGTTACACCAGGTTGTTGAACTATCCATCGCAGAGCTACGGCTGCCACGCTAACATTTAGCTCTTTCGATATAGCTCGCAATTCGTCGATAATATTCCATGGTTGATCAACATCCTTTGTCGACCACGATGTTTCTGTCCAGCCGACCTTCTCTGCCCATCCAACACAACTATCTTAGTCTGGTTTTTGATTTGACCGGCTAAATTTTCCAGACAGCCATCCGCCAGCTAATGGTGACCAAATAATTTAATAAAATTAAAATACGGAACTAAAGTATCTAACTTTAACTCTATTATATATCTAGTCCGTATCGACCAATAGTTACTCTCAAACAGTGATATTTGCACAGGATATTGTGGTATTTGTAACGGGTTGTTTTTCTTTTAAAAGTAAAATCTTGAATTGCCAGCTAAGAACGGCATTGAACGCTGAAAACTTCCAAATGTGACTATTTTAACTATTTATCTATACAAAAATTATGCAGTGTCATCGTTATGTTGCTATCTTCCTGTAGTATACCGTTTCCTTCGAAACCGGACGCAAGTATAATCGATCCGATTTGCTATGCTTGTATAACGAAACATTTATGTTATATAATCCACGCCCTAGTTCAGCTAGATGAAACTTTGATATTTTCTTCTTTCTATGCATACTATAGAGACACAGATATAAAGCAAGAAATGGAGAAAAGAATAAATTTTATCGTTTTATCCAAAAGAAGGATTCCCTTTACTATGAAATTAGTGTTTATTCTGGCAACTTTCCAGATTAAAAAAATTAACAAACTTGAAGGTACTCTTCTCCAGTTTTGTTGCCAGCTTGTAGTACAGAACTTGTACTCTATGCCAAGCAACTGTGTTGAAAAAGGTCTCTTTTATTTTTTAAGTTATACAATGATTTAAAGCCACCTTTGTGTCGTCGGAGGCACGTTTCCTTGTCTTGCTCTTAAAATAATTATACAGTATTGCTGTTCTATAAGTTCTCTCATAATTACGCAGGAGACGAGGTTTTCCTGGAAGCCCTAGAACGGCACTGCGCTTCAGTAAGAATGTACAGTATTTAGGCTGCTTTATATTCTGTTTATAAGAATTCAACAAGAAAAAATATATAAAATTCTATGGTTTTCCGAAATGGTTTCTAGGATCCTCAGGACAAAATCATCATTTCTTAATTGTTTCGGTTGTGTAATGACGTCTAGTGGACAGAATTAACTATATCCTGAAGTTTTCACCCGTTCTGGTATTTTTCGAGTGAATTGTGAGTTTTTTAATAATAGGTGAAAACAGGCGGGAAACCGTAGTATTTGAAACACTTGGTTTACGCTAGATTTTAAAGTCTTTTCTTAAAAACATCTTGCCACGAGATTCAGCATAGTCAGAGCTTATGTTTCTATGCATTGCTGAGATTCATTGACTGAAGCGAAGAGCAGTTCTAGGGCTTCTAGAAAAATCTCGTCCCTGCGTAGTTATGATAGATGAAGCTCTCGCTTAGGCTCTGTTTTTGTGGAGGAAACTTTAGTCTGTCCACTTATGAAAACAAAGAAATATATTGCTATGTTGAATTTTCCAGTTAGGAAACGCTTCTTCAGAGATCTCTTTGAAAACCGATTTTTAAAAACAATTTCTAATACATGCTCTTAAGTCTTGGCTATCGAATAGCGAAAATCGTGAGTCTTCGTCTACTTTCGTTCAGCAGTTATTCAAAGAACGGCCACTGGTCTTGTATTTTAGTTTCGATAATAGTTTCGCTTATTTACAATGGGTTTAAGCTTAGTTCTTTGTTTCTCAGAACTATCTATTCGTAGTGTCAAAGAATTCTGACACCACTCTTCGCTTCAAGTCTGTTTTACACTTTCATTGTTGTATGAGTGGGAATTGCATAAAATTCAACAGGCTCATTCGACTGAGCTCTGCTAGTAATTCTCTCTGTTGTAATATAAGTTACGTGATAGAATAATGTCTTTATTGGATATAAACTAAGTTCAAGTACAGTTACCTCATAATCACAGCGCATCACTAGTTGTAATGAGATGACTTCTGCATTCTGTTCAGCAATTTCCTGTTGATCGTTACTTGTGACTGCTGGCCACCCAATAATCCTGTTATACCTGATTCTTTATACAGGCGTCGTCAATATTGCAATAATACTAAGTCTTTTGATTCAATTGCATCACTTTTCCACCATATTTCGTAGGCAGACACTGTTATAAAGAGTTGCATTTCCACGAACAAACATTTCAATGTGTGGAAATCAATACAATTCATTTGATTTAAGCTTTATTTATTCAAAAAGATCAATTCGTTTCAACTTTTTATTGTTGTCAACCATGAGCGATATGCAATTCAGATAGTTAACTCTTTTACAAACGAGAACATGCCCTGGTATGGATTTGAATTGTGATTCGCGTAACAAAAAATATATTCTTTTTCTGAAACGAAGATATTTGATTATGTTTTCTATATAAAATACTAGTTGTCAAAATTTGTACAAACATATTTAGCTGCGACCATTCTCGAATATTCTTTGGTGCTACTGTGTTTTGAATCCGTTTAAAATATATTTCACTCCAAACAGGAAAGCTTAATTAACTATTGATAAGAAAATAAATAACAATGAAATATAATATCGGTTTTTGAATTAGTTTATTACTCTAAGTTCTCTTTTAAGTATTCCTCTTCATAAATCTTGGCACAATCTTCATGAACAACAAACCATCTATTTTTAATATCGAAACATTCTTTCTTCTCACAGTACCACCATACATGAGGAAGAGTTCCATTATCATTTTGAGATTCACAAATATTACAAATATATTGATTATTTCGATTAAAACCAACAAAATTTGTTAATTTATGTTCATGTACAATTTTATTCATTTGAACTCTATTTGTATTAATACCCCAACTCTTTTCTATTTCTTTGGCACGCTGATAAAACGTTTGAGCTATATTTGGTGTGACTGACTTTAACCATTCATTTTCCTTGGCACGATAGTAAAATGTTCGAGCTATGCCTGGCGCAGTTGAAAGAAAACTTATAGCTCGATTATTATTTTGATGTTTAGCAATTAAACGTTCATTTCCTCGTTTATATGCTTCCTGCACAACTTTTGTACGTCTGTTTTGACCTTTTAATTGTTCAATTAAATCTTCTTTATGTTCTAGAATTTTTTCATGTATAACATGTTTTAATTCGTTAATTGTTTGTATATAGTTAGGGGACTTTAATTCATTTGTTTTTCTTTCAGTAAATTGTCCAAAACCATTAGAAGCAGAATATGATGCGGCAACAGTAAAAATAATTGGTATACCTTTTTTATCTAATACTTGCTCAATATCATTGATGATAATATGTTTTTGTTCTTCACAATTTTCATAGTCAAATAAACGATCATATTTATTACATACAATAATTATACGTTTCATAACCAATAATTTTAATTCTTCATCTGATATGTTAGCATATTTTTTTATATGTCCTTCTTTTATACCGGTTACTAACATATCAATGACTTTATCATAGAGTACTTTAAAACCGTTTAATATTTTATCATCAATAACTAGCAAACATATTGTCATAAGTTTTGATAAGTCAATAATTAATCTTTCAATGTGAGAAAGTTTAAGTTTTTCTTCAATAATTTGACCAACATCATTTGTTTGAGAAATATACAGATTACGTGTTTCTGTTACACATGCTTGATTTAAACCGGGAACATCAACGATTACATATCTTATCCGTTTATCAGAGGGGAATAAGAGATCATTGTCCTTTTCGATAATACCTGCTCGTGGTACCAATGTTGTACCATTAAGAGTGCCAGCTCGAAAACCTGGATTATTTGTTAATGCCTGACATAAAGAAGATTTTCCAACACCTGTATTTCCTAATTGCATAATGACAATATCATATTCTTTTAATTGAAAACGAGCTTGATCTTTTGCTAGTAATACATCATCTACATTTGTTTGTGAATTGTTGTTTCTTTTCCTTGTAATAAGTTCAGGTTGAAGAAGAATAACTTCATTGTTTTCATCGTAAAACCGAATGAGAATTTTGGAAATATTTGAATTCATTTGATTTTCACTGACTTCATCAACTATTGTCATTGGTTTAACTATTTTGGGAATATCATTAAAAGTATCAGAACTAAATAGATAGAGCAACATTTTACATTTAATCAAAATTCAGTCAATTTTTTCTTGAGAGACAACTATAATCAGATATATGCAAGCCTTATGGATAAGGTAAGGTATAGTAGTTTCTGATGGATAATCACTTCCTTTGAATACAATGGACAGTTATGTACCAGTTAATCATAACATCACAATACTCCACATTTTATGCAACCGAGAAAATCTATTATATCTACTCTTCATCTAGGTTATACGATCAAAAAACTAGCATTTAGTAATAAATACAGTGTAAGAGCTCAGAAAAAAAAGTGATTTTAGTATTATCTTTTACCGCATCAGAAAAGCGGCAAAATCAATCCAGGCTGCAAGAGTGTATGTGCAAATATCAGATCGAGGTTGGGAAGGCAGTCTTAGCTATGTATTATATGATTATTTGAACAAAATGTTGCAAAGCCATGGTAGACTTTTTTAAAAAACTTCTTAGTCGCCTTCAATTCATTACAAGATTTTAAAGTCTCTCCAATGTCCTTAATGGATCTAGTAAAAGACAGATGTATTTTACACGTATGTTTTGCTATAAAAACATGAGAGTTATAGAGAAAAGAGATAATGAGAGGTATTCGTAAGCAGAGAAGATAGTGCATGCCAATGAAAATGTATACAATGACAATGTGTACTCGGTCGGGAGATCTCGACTACAAGTGTAAAGCCTTGAACGAAAGAAAAGCAATGTAAAAAACTAGATGTCGAACTTTGAACTCGGATTTCAAAACCAAGTTCGGGTTCAAAACAATCTTAATCTATGACCATTTCATTTCACCACTCAATCACAGCTACAGAAAAGCCAATTTGGCGGTTTTTCGTCTCTTACCTTCAAAATTAAAAACCGTATATTTCACTCATTTCTCTTCCAAAATGACTCAACTTTTCAGAGGATTCTCAGAACAGGTCATATAATGCAGAACTGCTGGGGAAAACCGAATCTGAATCAGGTTTTCGCCAAATTGGCTTTTCTGAAGTTGTGATTGAGCGGTGAATAAAATAAATATCGCCACGATGATCAGCGTGGTCGATTACCCATGATCCACATGTTTCTGAGATTCCGAGACGTGTCTAGAACGAGATAGGCATGTCCTCGGGAAACGTCTGTAAACAAAAGAGATGGGGATCTGGGTCTTGGGTAGGTTTGAAGACAAATGTTTTGGCTATCGATTGGTGTTATTTGAGGTTGGATTCATAGTGTGGTTTGAGAATGATAAGCTTTCGGATTTTGTCTCGAATGGTACATCGTGGTAAACCTGATCGGAAGCCTTGGCTTTTTCATAGGCTTACGTCCCAAAATGTCTAGTTTCAGAATCTGAAAATCGCAGGTCTCTATCGCCTTTCGTTCTCGAGTTATTTAAACAAATATCCGTTACCACTATTTTTTTTCCAACAATAGTACTTGTGCTTTTTCAGATACCATTACAAGTTCAGGCACTTGTGGTAGATCTTTCATTTTGTAGAGATCATGTAAAAGATATTTGATGGCCGTCTTGTAGAGTTGAAAAACCTACGTTGAATAACTCTTATTTCCATATACTAGGTCAAAACTAAAATAGTTTTTGGTTTACAAGAACAAATGCACTCAAATACTTACCCTGTCTCTATTAGAAAAGCAGAGGTAGGCAAGTCTCAGTCCGGACTGATAAGCTTTTGTCATTGGACTTTGACTGCACAGAGACTTGACTGTGACTGATTATTTTCGCAGGCATGATCGATTTCTCAGATCAGTTCTTCAACTTTTGAGTTTTAGTGTAGAAAAAAATCTTTGCTCTAGGCATTTAAAGAAACAGTATCATTTCGCTAAAAAGATGCAAGACAAAACATGTAATCATAAGAGCGAATGAGAAAAAATGTCTGGCTTGGACTGGACTTGGACTAATGTTTATAGAACTGAAACTAGACATCGGACTGAAAAACAGAGGACTTGTCCGTCTCTGTTCAAAAGCACGTAAGTACAATAATAAAAACAGGAACATATTGACATTTGTACCTGAGTGCTTACCTTCCAAAGTATGCCTCAAAAATAGCTGAAAGTGCATCAAGTACATATACCTATACAGGTATTTTCAGAAGTACGCGCACTTGATACTTGAAAGGTACCAAAAGTACGGGAGTACAAGTATCCAATCTTCATTTAACATTGGTTCAGATCTACAATATTATAATGTTATCATTAAATGCTATACAACTGTGAATTACATTCGAAGTAACTGGCTATCCACTGAGATAAATATTATATTCGCACACATATTTTTGGATAAATATCATAACTTTTCATTTATTTGATATTTAGGATAAAACTTTTCTAGACATTATTAATCTTAGACTTACCCAGATGACGATTGATTCTCATTAATATCATTTTCAAGATTTGTTACCTCGCTTTGATTCGATTGTAACGACATTGTCAAAGGATTTCTGTGTTGTAATTTCAACTTTGGCGAGGATATTCGGTCTGTTAATACTGGATTTTTTGACATAGGAAATGCACTGTTATCAATGTTCAACGTCTTTGTTGAAACTGTTTTCCGACTATATTTTTTATTATTCAGATTGATTCTAATACCGGCCTTCCATGTAGATAAATAATTCATACCTGTATAAAACCACACAACACCTTTCGTATCCAAATAGCACCAATAATTCCATCCATCATAAATGAATAAGACCACCAAGATAATAAATAAACCATTGATCATGATACCAGGGTTAAATAGAGTATAAAAACATAGTTTTATATGAGAATTAAATGGGGGTAATAAAATAGTTTGATCATTTGAATAAGACAACATCATAGATAGAAATATTATACCAATTGTACATCGACATAAAATTATGAAACAAGCTGTCATATATCCAGGAAGTTGATATTTCATATCGAAATTTATTTTTGATATTTTTAAAACTAATTTACTTAAAAGGCTTCTCTTATCATAAACCCAGTAGGCACCAGAAGTAGTTAGTCCACACCAAAATGTTTTATCTTGAAATAGAACTAATAAATGTACAGATAGACAAAATACGACCGTTTTTCTCAATAGCATCAAAGGGTTTAATGGCGAATAACCGAGTATAAATAATTGTAATTGAAGATAGAAATCAATACAAATGAATAGAAACTTTTTATTAAAATGTTTTTCGACTTCATTGTGCACAATTTGAAATGATAAAATAATTCTGATAATACATATTCCAAATGAAATTAATAAACTTATAGATGGAAATAGAAAATGTGATGTAGAAATCGGTATCTCAGTATTATTCTTGATCAAATTAATATAAACATCATATTGCTGATTCATTTTTTGTTGATAAACTAATATAAAATTTATTAGATCAATTATTGGATAAATTGTTTCTATACCTCTCATAAATGATATATAAAATACAATAATACCATAGAGTGGAGATGAAATAAATATTGTAACAATTAACAATATGAAAATATTAAGAATACCAAGTGTTGTATAAACATTATTTTCAGTTGTAGTAGAGTTTTTAAAATTATCCAACATTGCGGTAGTGTTTGATTCATTTTTATATGTATTGATAATTTCAGTAGTAATAGTCAGTGTTAAACAGATTAATAAGCCAAGAAGAATTTTTAAATGTCGTTGAAACGTCTTTTTGAGATGAGTATCTAATTCTATGACAGGCTTTTTAATTATTGGTAAAAGGATATCAGTAATAAGTGTCCAAACAGGCATTTCTTTAACGTGTTCTTAATGAGAAAAAAAAAAGAATCATTTCTCATATTACTTTTCGAAAGTGTTTTGACTAGTTTTCTGTCGACTTTTTGAATCAAACGTACTCTACCAGATTTGTCTCCTATCATATTCTACACTATTTGAAAGATAATTTCAATATGAAACAGTGGCGGCCAAAATTATTTGTACGATTAGTGTTTTACCAATAATTCTGTGACCAAGGTGTTTTTTTAAATTGTGAAACTACCAAGAGATTGTCCGCTGGCTCCGCTCTTTATGGTAAAATTTGGTAATCACTAGGAGACCTTTTGCAGCTAGACTAATGGCTATAAAACTAGAGAGGTTTATATTTTTTCGCCAAAATTATTTGTACGTTTGATACGGAAATTTTTTTACGTTGTATACGCACTGACAAAATATGAAAACTACATCAATAGAAGACAGCGCGAGCTACGTTTTGGTAAAAAAGTAATTATGAAAAGTTTTTTCCTTAGGTGAAAACGCGACTTTAAGCCAAAAGTGTCATACTCTTGAGTGTGACTCTCCCTCTCAGGTATGAGTGGCTGAAAAAAAAATTCTGATTAAGCCATTAAGCGTTCAAAACTAAGTAAGATAAACATAGTGTGAAAGTTAAGTGAGAGAATTGAAATATCTTTTCTGCATGTAAACATTTCTAGATATTTTGCGTCATCATGTAGTCAGGTAGTTACTGTGTATATTGGTATGAAAAAAGAAATTTACACTTTTAAGTTTAGAGGGAAAAACGGTATTTTGAACATCAAAACCAGCTTTCCACCTATAAGAAACATTTTTCATCAAAAATTAACATCATATTCGTGCTCAGCGTCAAAAACTGCGTCTATGGATGTGTCACTCGAAGTTTAACAAAACTTCTCCTTCCATCTAAAAATAACGTCTGAAGACATTGTTTTTGTGATAGACACTAAACACCTGACAG